CATTTTTCCTGCACTCATTAGATGTGGTTTCCTGAATTTATTAATTTGGTATAATGAATCTCTATGGATGTACTCACCTTCAGCAGTAATCTCCAGGATTGATGATCCTTTTGTCTTTTTATTTACTAGTTTATCGTTCTTTAGTAATTTGAATCTAGCTAGCATGACATAGTTATGAATTCGTGACATGGTTATGTTTTTATATCTAAGAACAACCTTAACAACCCTTGTTTTGCATCATAGTGGAAAAGTATGTTCTTAGTATTCTGGTTGTCTTGTACGATGAAGGCAGTGAATTTGCTGAGATGTTATTGCAACGCCTTGAGAGGGAACTCTAGCAAGAAATGCATGTTCAAGTGGCACCTGTTGCACATTATAATCCGTTCTTTATGTTCCGTTCTTTTCCATCCCAAATGTCTCATCGGAGAAACAATCAGGAAAAAAATTTCAAACTTGTCTTAGTTGCATCCATGTCATTCCTAGTCGTTTACAGTCAGGGAAAAAATTCAACTCCGACACACTTCTGATTTGGTATGTATTCAATAATTCACGGTTTCTGCATTTTAATGGAGCACAATGAGTGTAAAATTGGTATGCTTTGTGGTGTTAGTGAGGTGTTTGTTTGGGACATTGTGTTTAGACCATGGTTCGCGACTCTTTTTTATCGGTCAGTTTACACTAATTTTGCCCTGAGTCTATTACACCGACACCGCAACCGTAACCATAACTGCTCGAAGCATGGTTTAGATTTTTCCATTTGATGCTTTCCTTTGGCTCCATTTTTTGTTCTGAATGCAATATTAGCCAATTTCTTGAAGTGATGTATCTTGCCTAGTATATATATATATATATATATATATATATATGGTGCAGGTTTTGTTTATATTAATGCATCTAGCCTTTTTGGAGCGAAAATCATTGCTATTATTGCTTGATTGGCAGTTTTGCATCAGGCCATAATTATTTTATATGTTCTGAGTGCATATTTAGAAAATTATCTGCCCAGTTCTGCATGATGATTATACATAAGACCATGAAATTCTCTTAATCCTCTGCAAACAAACAATTACTTATCATGCAAATCAAACATATAATAGATTCGCTTAAAAAAAATTATATGAAACAACCAATATAAATAGATAAATGACTTTTTATTTAGTGTAAATCGGAGAGTTCTCGCACGAGCACCCAAAGGTAAGGGTGGATTGCGGACAACCACAATTCAATTATAATTACAATTCAATTCCTTTTCAAATTCCAAACAATATATATATATTATTCCAAGCAAAGCCTTTGGCTCCTTTTCTCTGGTTTGTTAATAATATCTTGCTTAGGCAAAAAAAGATAAATAACTATTTTTTTTAGTTCTACTTGGGGTGCATAAATGCTACATTAATATTATCATATTTCTAACAAAAGTTACCACATGTTCTTGTAAATTCTTATCAATAATTTAACTAAAAAAAAAAAAATTCTTATCAATAATAATTACTTCATTTCTCTGTCTCTGCAAAATATATATATATATATACATATATATAATTACACAAAATCAAATCTAGAAGAGGATACCAATGGGAGATTAAGATACATGAAGAAAAAACAAGTCATTACCTTGGATTTGATTCAAACCCTAGTTAAAAATAAAATAAAAAATAACTTGACTGCAGAGATAAATTAAAGTAAAATTAGATTCTTGACAAAAAAAATTATGACTGAAAACCCAATTTTGAATATATATATATATATATGTATGTATAAAATAAAAATTGCAATCTATATCAAACAACTCAATCATATAATAGATTCGCTTTATCTATTTATAAGTTCCGTAAAATCCCCACCCTATAGATCTTAGGTTCTATTCCCCTCCCTAACAAACTAGGGACCATTGTCGGGCACAAGGGAAAATTCTGGCATGCGCACCCAATGGTAAGGATGGATGGGGATGATCGTCTCCCAATCACGTGCCACGCCGAGGATGAGATTACTATATTTTGATGCTGCGACGATTGAATATGCTCCTGCTCCGAAGACGACGACGGAAAGTCCAGGGCGGGGTGGAGGTCGAGGGCGACTGTTTCTTTGGTCGTTGCTGAGACGATGATGATGAATGCTATTAGTATTACTCGCGGCACAAGAAATCTACCCATGGCTATGCTTCTTGTCTTCAGAGAGGCTAATTCGATCTGTGGCAAGTTTAACGATTTGATATGATCAGTGATTAGGTGTTTATATAGAGAGAGAACTGAAAGAAAGTCGTGTCCTAATCCTACAGTAGTGCTGACCCTATAGTCATGTCTTCGTAACGTTATTTATATTTATTAATATATGGATCCCTTCACGCGTAAAAAGTACTCGTAAATTTTAATTTGGTGTAAATAGGTGCTCTCTAACAAATTAAAACCCTAAATTAATTGAATTATTCTTACTAAATCATTTTATAAAATATATAAAATAAATAATTTTATAAATTGACAGAAAAGAATGCCCTCTCAATAAAAAAAAAACAACCCTAAAGTTTCAATCTGGTTCAAATAGATCTCTCTGACAAATTTAAACCCTTGATTAAATTACCGAACCAATTTATAAAATATATAAAAATAAATAATTTTATAAAATAATACTATTGGAGTACGCCAACAATGGCCAAGTGAAGATAAAAATATAAAATAAAAGTTTAAAAGATAAATAAAGATAAAAATAAAAATAATAAATAAATAAAGTGCAAAATAAATAAAACAAAAATTTTCCAAACTTCGAAAATCAGTGCATACTGATATTGGGAATTTTTTTTTTTTTTTAACAGTGTAGAAACGAAAAAATAAAATAAAATAAAGAAAAAAAATTAAAAAAGAGTAAACTGAAATCTCAAAAAATTCAAATCCTTGTACTACAAATTCTCAAAGTTAAAAAAATAAAATAAATTTAAGAGATACATAAAGAGAAAAAAAGTTTCAAGAAAAATATATATAAAGTAATGTTCACATAACACACTTATATTATGAGATTAGTAGCATATATACTCCCTTGGGCATTTTTGGAAGAGTAAAATAGCAAAACAGGTATTACAACAAGAATTTATGTTAGATGGAGTATTTTTGCACAATATGAAAAGATTAAAGATATTTTTTGCGCACTTTCTCAAATATGAAATAAAAGTGCTATGTGTAGTATACTTTAGGAGTGTTTTCTGTCCCATTAATACTGAATTTATTAATCCCGAACTCCCGATTATTAATCTTTAAAATAATTACATGACATAGGTTCAAACTATTTTTTTAATTTGTCGAGAGCACTTGTTATTTTACTTAAGTGTGACCAATTTTATTGAATAAACGATGTTGATTAGATAGGCATTATTCATCAGGGGTGGTATACCGGTACAACCAATATGTTCCTTCTTTTTGATAATTTATATATTAGATGGTTTTGTCTATTTGACACTTGGCGGATTAAGTTAATGACAGTTTTTCAATCATAACACTTTGTAATATATAATACACTTTTGTGGAGTCATTTTTTCAATTCTAACGTTTATAGTCAACTGGTCCATCAAGTGTTAATGGTTCATGACCATCTAATAATTTCCCGAGTCACAAGAGTCTTGCCTCGGAATCCAAATCCAATGTGATAAGAGACATTTTAGTTTTGATCAAATAACTAATCACTTGCACGTGTGAAATGTGCAAAAGATTGCAGTGGATCAGATTCCTTAGGTTATTAGAAGTCGGGTTGGAATAAGCGTAGGGGTTGCCAATTTTCGTTTCTTAGCAACTGCAATGGGCTGTCAATCTCAAAATATAGCAGGTGAGTTTAAAATGGAGTCTCCAATGGGCTGCCAAAATATAATTTTGCCAAATCTTGTGCCAAATATAGCACAACATATAGCAACTGATATTGCTCTCTAGGGCAACAGAAAGAGAACGGCGACAAAAAGAGAAGAAAAGTTGAAGCAATGCAAGCTTGATGGTCGCTATGAGCAGTGGCTTTCGCAAGGTATGTGAAACATCCCTCCACTCTGTTGCTTTGATTCTTCATTTTGATAGTGTTGGTTTATGTACAAGTAAGGTTGAACCCTCTGCAAATTTGATGGAAAAAACCATTTTTGATGGAGAAGAGATTGAGGTGGTGATGGTGGGGTTATGACACTCTTGTGATTGTAGAATATTCAGGACATTAAACTTAAAATGGCCACTAATTGCAAATAATTTTTTAAGAGATGCCGATATGGGTTTTGAACTTTTGATTCTTGCAGACAGATAGATATACTGAAATATATGGGTTTTGAACTTCTGATTCTTGTAGATTTTGTAGTTTGCAATTGCAGAGAGAGAGAGAGGGCAAGTTCATAGTCGAGAACGAGAATAGAGATGGAGGCAATTGGGGATGCTGAAATTATTTGTCCTAAAAATATTTTGTAGTTTGTTTTTTATATGGGAACAGAATGCAATGAATGGTATAGATGGGAAGGTGATTTCGAAATCAACGGTACTCAAGAGTCGAAGTTAAAAATATGATTGGCGAAGCTAGAAGTGGGTTGGGCTTGATTTAATGGAGGCTGAGAATTGCTAACATATAATATTTTAGATGAAATGCACCATTAGAGCAGAATTGCTAAAATATAACATTTTGACACTGTAACTCCTCTCAAAATATAAATTTAGCATACAAAAATGACATGTTGCATTGAAAATGGTCTTAGAAGCAACTACTTTGGCCATCCCAACCAAATTTAAATGTTATGAATTAAAACAAAATTAGAGAACTACTAATTAAAGAGTTCCTCTTGAATCATACCTTTACAATTAACCAATATTCTTAAGTTATTTAAATGCATGGATACATATATAAAATTTTTAAAAAATAATATTTTCCAAAAAAATATTTTAGGCCGAGACAAACAGAGATGAGAATAACAAAGAAGTTGGAACTTCGCTTCTCTAAAGTTTAAAACCCAACTAAACATTGCTCTCTTGAGGCCCATTTAGTGCATTAACTGTGTAAAACAAGGTTGGATACTGCATACATATAAAACCTGAAAAGTTGAACAAAAAAAGTACATCATGAAGAATGTTTGAGAGTAACTTTTTGAGCATTTAAGCCAGTCACAACATACAAAGTTGCAAATTCAATGTAATATATAACACACACACAGCATCAAGGCATAAGTTGTCCTAAACAAAAGATAAAAGGAGTGCAAAAGCAGTCATTTCTCAGTGTCTTTATCGTGTTGGAGTTCTGCACGCATATGTTGCATGAGTATTTCTTCAATGGCATCCACAAAGCTTGAAACATTTTGCCGAACATCCGCTTCCAATGAGTTTGCTACATCCTGGTGACCCAAAATTAAGAGGATCATGAAAAAAAAAAAAAAAAACAAAAAAACAAAAAACAAAAACAAAAACAAAACAAAACAAAACAAAAACAAAAACAAGTCAATTGGAAATACTTTCGAGGCAATATATTTTGAAAAGCAGAAACCATGTACCCAATCAGGGAAACAGATTTTGATAAAATCTATCGCTTATTTCCTGTATGAACTCAAATTGAATTGAAGATGACAGAACTAATAACCAAACCCTAGATATATCAAACAACCAATTGCACCAAAATGCATAAACTACCCACAAATATTCCACTCAAGCAACTGAAACAGTACAGTCATGGAAATTGATTGGACCTAAAAATTCAATCCATCTTCCATGTAGGCCAGAGGATTCTTTCAGTGAACTTTCGCATCATTTAACGGACAATTCAACCAATTAAACACTCAAACAAATTTGAAAAAAGTTAAAGAAAAGGAAATCATTAGTTCATTACTTAATGATCTCGGATACAAATATTTTGTGCTTTTTCATTGAACCTGGCTTCAATCTCAAACCTATTGCAGGGTTAGCAATTTACAACAGATGCTTTGCTAATACTGTAATGGTACTGTTCGTCAATGCTATATAGCACTATTGACAACTTGGTTGTGTATACCTTTTTACAATGATGCCATTCACACTGCCATTGCAGTCTTGGGGGTAGTGCCTTGTAGGCTGCTTAAAATGTACCGTTCACACTACTGCTTACATCTCTACACTAATATACGGTCCTTGTAGCCTTCGGTGATTAGTTGTGGTGCCTTGCCTTTGGGAAAATTGATTAAAATTACCGGAGAGAGAGAGAGAGAGAGAGGCAAGATCAAAATGGCTTTTTGGAAACAATGAAAGCACACTAAAATTTTTCAAATGATTCTAATTTCCCTTCTAGTTTTATCAAGCGTTAGCGTCATATATGGTTCACAAAATTTGTAAAAAAAGTTGGAGCCTATTTATTTATTTCCTAGTTGAGTTATGTACTAGGGTATTACTTCTCGTCCAATATTTACAGCTAAAAAGAAAAGAAATCAACTCCATGAGTGGGTTAGCCACTATCATGCATTGAATTTCATATTTTGTTCAGGATGTTAATAATGGTTAATTGCATGTTAATATGGTTTAAATACTACAGTAAATAAATACAGTTTTTATAGTTTATAGACAGAATGGATCTATCGAATAGCAATCACCTATCGATCAAAGCATTCTGGACAGAATCCCATAACAAAGTCATGAATGTACCATAGTTTTGACAGTGTCAGAGGATCGATATATGGATTGATCAATGCTGGCGCAGTTTGCAAAATTTGGGGTATTAAATTGGAAACAAGCCCATAAACCTAACTTATCTCAAGTCTAACCTATATATATATATATATGGATCCAACGTGCATGTGCAGAGGTACTGAGGAAGGGTAAAATCACAATATTTAAAAAATATATAAAAAATAAAAAAGTCAGAACCAGAACAGACACAAGAAGGGCCTTATTGCATGGAAATACACGAGATACTTGGCAAGTTGGCAGTAGAGTATCTAAAGGATGCCAACATTTCATAGAAACCTAAATCACAGTCAATAAATACCGCAGTTAATTTTCTTGTCCAACAGCTATTTTACATTGATATTTCATAAAGAAAAAAGAAGTTCCACGTATCTGGTACATTTGAAATTACTAATCCATTCGGGCAACCAAATCCATCTACACATTCAGCGTAATATCGTATAACAATAATTGAACAACTGTTCAAAGTTAATAGAATTTGCAATATAGCAAGCCAAACAAACCAAATAAAGCAACATGAACTGAAGCAAATGATACAAAAAAAATTATATATTTTAAAGAGTAATCTAAATTTTTACTTAACAATTTCAACAATATGGCATAGTTAAAGAGAAAGGTACCTTTTGAAAGATTACTTTTGAAATTACAGGATCTTCCTTAAGAGTTTGAAAGCAAGAGTATCCAAAATAACTCACCTCAACCTTGCAAAGAAAGCTCAAAGAAACTTCCTTTGAATACTGACTTGAGCTCTTGAGACTTTTCAGCTTCAATCCATGATTTGACAATGGCCAACCATGTGACACCTTAATGAAAGCATCAAGACCACCCACCATATGAGCCACAATTATCTCATCTCTATCCAAGTACTCAAAAGAGTGCCTATGACAGGAACAAGTGAATAAGTCAAATGACTTGAAATATATATATATATATATATAGCATTCAAAAATATAATTAATACGTATATGTCAATCTGTTTTTTAGTAAGAATGTATAAGTCAAAGAGGAACATGCTGTGTTTTGACCTGGACATGAAATACGCACCATTTTATGTGCAAATTTCTGAATCTGTATATATGTTTGATTGCCATTTATACATGTTTAATTAGATATAAAAATGCTTTTTCATCAATTCTACAAGATTATACTAGTATTTAGGTTTGTGATTTAGCTTTTACACTCTTCATCGTTTTGGGCCTACACTAGAATCTATGTAAAAATATTTTTATGTTGCAAAATTTTTCAAATTGTTTCTAAGTTGTGACAATTTCATCAGGCTCCCAAAATAATTATGTTGTTTTGCTAATTATGTCACATAGACTCATGTACAAAAGTTGGATGCAGGTATGTGTCTAAGCATTAGGTTTATGAATTCTCCAAAGTTAAGTTTACAGAGACAAGGGTAAGTATTCATTTCATTAAATACTACTTCATTTATTTTTAGAGTAAATAATGTTTCACTCGTTTTAAAGCAATAACGTAAAAAAAGGAACAAAATAAGAGTTTTATGTACAAACATATAACAACTTGAAATATTCTAGTTGCATGTCCAACCATATGTATCAGACATATCTCGTACCCATGTCCAAGTGCCAACTGTCAGACACAAATATATCATGCATTTATTAACAGCCGATGTAATACATCATGCATTTATTAAGAGCCCATGTAACATAATTAGCTAACCAAAACTTGCTCTTTAGAGAACATTTTGAATTATAGGAATGGGAAGATTGGGTCACGATATTAGGAAACAACACTTTGCCTACTCGGTCTAAAACAGGAGGAACTTACTATTAGTAAAAGAGTATTTAAATTGATTAAATGAGTCAAAAAATATTTGTAACCAAGTTTAAAACTCAACACTATAAGTATGAATTATAAAACGTAAATCTCACCTCGACTTATTTGCACATTTCACCACAAATCGTCTTAGTGTGCATAGAACAATTCTATCTTGCACTCTTCTTACAAACCACTCCAAAGAAGACCTAGTCTCCAGCAATGACAAATGTGAAAATAACATCCTAGAAGCACAACAAATAATTATGTCCCAAGGGTACAAAAGAAGTAATGAGCAAGTAAAGGTCAGGTACCATAAACCAGATCAAGTGAATGGTCCTTAATTTCATCCACCCGAAGTGAAATATCATTTTTAAAAAATAAATAAATAAAAAGAAAAGAAACGGAAAAAAATGGCATGTTCTCATGTTGTTGACATTCAATTCAAACATGGGAACGCACATTTTCACATCTGCATGTAAGTAGGTAATCCATATTTTAGACTTCCATTAATGGCAATATGGCATGAATGATAAGGAGCAAATAGCCACACACGCAAGAGAGAAAGAGAGAGCATGCAATTTGTATCCATTAAATTAAAAATATAGTTTGTAGGTGAGAAGACATTCTAAAAGCTCTAACAGAAAGAACTCCAAGTACAGAATCCGGAAAGAAGTACATGAGGAAAAACAAGAAAGGGAAAAATAAAAAACAAAGGAAAATTTTACAAGGCTACACACGTGGTGCATAATGAAAAGGATGGCAAGAAAAGAGAAAATGAGAGACTGTCGTACTGAAGGAAAAAAAAATATATACACATTTACAAAGCCTTGCTCTATGTAAATTGCTATAGTTTCTAAGTCGGGTTGGAGCTAACTGAGCAGACAGGGTTTTAAGACTTCTGCACAAGCTTTTTGTTAATTGCAAGGATGAAAAACTGATATGATAATAAGAAATGATCTACACATAAACATGTATGTATGAGAAGCTAGTACACCCAGGCTAAATAAACTCTACAATATAAACAAGGAGCAGGAAAGTCCTGCAATTGAAGTACTCCTATCCATTTATAACTACCAGAAGAGAATCTATAGTTCATCTGAAAATTCAGACTTCATAGGTAAGACCCTTGCTAAAAGCCAAACCATAACCCAAAGTTCAATGACATTCAACTAGAGTTCCAACAACACTGCTAAAAATTTAATTGATGTCATCAGAAATATCATATATGATGAAATTAAGACAGTCAAAGTAGATCCAATGCTGAATCAGAAAAATGATGTACGGATTAATGGATACTGCATGTTTGACATATATTGACCAATTATGTGATTTCCAAGTTAAATTTTTAACATAAAATATTCAGCATGAGCAAGAAATGGGTCTAGTGTGTTAGAGTAATGTGATGTCCACGAGAGATATGGATGCTTTGAGAACTCCATTGATGCACACATATACTAAATCTACAAAACCAGCAATTCACATTATACATCAAAACTAATATTTCAAATGGTAAACCTTCCAAAGAAGAAGATTATATGTGTATATATATTTCAGAAAAAGATTATATGCATATGTATATATATTACACATAATACAACCTAATGTTGATATTAGAGTAAATTTTAATGAAGTAATGGACCTGAAAGACTTTGCAGCATCAACTATTTCACCAATGTACACATCATTTGGAAAAATCTGGACAGAACAAGAAAGCATGAAAGATCAACTCAGAATACATAGAAACTGATATAAAAATTTTGAGCCTATGTTTTGAATCACATGTCAGGGAAAAATTCCTAATATATAAATAAAAGAAATCTAGTGAACAAGGTAAGAGCAAACAATAAGCAAGCACACTATGTAATATAGGAGTAGGCATCATATGCACTGCTTCAGAAGGCAAGGGAATGGAACAAAAAAAAAGCAATTCACAAAATACAAGGGGCATACACCAAAGAACAACTATACAAATCAAACGTAGATCAAGCTACTATTTAACAAAACTATACTAGTGGCCAGTTTTTTTTTTTTTTTGCCGGAATGTATACCAGTGGCCACTTGTGCAAAGTAAAAGGGAGATGAATAATAGATGCAACACCATCCACCAACAAGACAATTATCTGGGAAGTTCCAAACTTGCCACATAAGCCAATTTTTCACAGATTTCTTCCAGAGCTGTCATGCAGCTGAATAGGTTGACTAATGGCTAGATTAGTTGAGGTACGTGGACCTGTGATGCTTTAGGATAATTCAAATAAGATGTGGACCAGTTTTGCACTTTATTATGGAAAGTGTTGTCAGGGGCTTATTTGTTATTATTTATATAATGTTGGATGCTTATGTGTAATTTCTGAAACTTGTTAGTATAAATAGAATGTGGTGGAAAGACAAAAGTATTCTTTCATTATGTCTCTCTTTCCCCATCTCTCTCTCTCTCTCTCTCTCTCTCTCTCTCTCTCTTTCTCTCCTCCTCTTTATTCTCTTCTTCATCTTCTTCTACTATACTATTATTTTGATCATCTCTTAAAGCCAACATGGTATCAGAGCATGGTTTGTAAAGTTCTAGGGGGCAGTTGAAACCGTAGGGCAAGTTCGTGTAAACCCTAGTGGGTGTGAAGGGTTCTAAAGAGAATCCAAGATGGGATTTGATAAGTGCTGAATATTGCATATTCGAGCCCTTAAATGTGCGTATGTTAAGACCTTAAGTGATACTTTTATCCGGTTTTATACTTATTTTAGTATATTTGCATTTTGTAGGTGATTTCCCAAAGAATAGGACAAAATCGTGATTCTGGAGCTTAAATAATGTTTCCGAAGCTTATAGAGATATACCGGACCATCCGAGGTCAATCTGGAGTTAATTAGGGGATTCTGAAGAAATTCAAGAGTTAATGCTCGAGCACAACAATTTGTGCTCGAGCACAAAGTGGACTGAAGAAGAAAAAATGACTAAGGCAAAAAGAAATGCTCGAGCATTAATTCTGTACTTAGCCAAATTTCCATCAAATATTTCCGAAGTGTCTTTTTCTTCAACACTTGGAATTTTTTTGAACTTTCTTGAATTTGTGCTCGAGCATTTTGAACTTGTGCTCGAGCATTTTGAGAAATGCTCGAGCTCTGGTACTTGGAACTTCCGAAGCGTCTTTTCATCTTCCCAGGGAGATTTGTGCTCGAGCTTTTTGAGAAATGCTCGAGCATTATCAATTTAGGAAACTTTTATTAATGCGGGATTAATCCAAAAGCTATCCTTTTAAGTTCCAGACAGCCCAGATCTCCCCAGAAGTCCTAAAGCCCATCCAAGAAGGAATATAAGTCAATTGCTTCTATAAAAGAAGATGAAAGGCCACAAGGAAGCTCCCTGCTCCCTTGCAATTTTTCAGATCTAGCGGCGGCTTTTAGTTTTTGGAGTTTCTCTGTAAAGATTCCAAGAAAAGGAGTTGCAGTCCATGAAGATGCTTTCCACACCAACAAAAACGATATTCTCCATCTTCATGAGTAGCTAAATCCTCTTAGGGCATTGATGTAACGGGACTCCGATTAATATGGTTTGATTGTTCTTAACTTTGGGGATTTTTCAGTAATTATGTATATTAATTGCATGATTATGAACAATTGACTTAGATCTTCTAAGCAATTGGGTTTTTAATAGAATAAACTTGGTTTTTGATAAATTAATATCTTGTCTTAGAATTAATTCTTCGTTAATCAAATTCAAACTATTCTTATTGTTTGAGATTGGTGACTAAGGGCTTCTCATGACAATGAGAATAGTAATCATGCAATGGTGCTTAAACCGTTTTTATGAATGAATGTTTTGATAGTTTATGCTTAGGAAAGACAAATTATTAATTTATTCTGCAAATTATTTTAGAGTAGGTAGGTAGATAATTCGTGCCAACCGAAGATAGGTTATTCTTAGCAAACATTCATGATTTATCTTCTTAAAAATTAAATTGAATAGAATGTTAATTCTTTTAATTCCTGGTTATACATAAATATTGAAATCCCCAAGGTTGAGTTAGTTTACCATATTAAGAGGTTCGTGGTGAAATCAAGCCCTAAGTATTTCTCTCCTTGATCTCAGTTTATCTTATTTTGTTTATTTAATTTTCATGTTATTGAATACCATCACAACAAATACAATATTTTTCTGAATTAAAATAGCAATTAAATTTAGACTTGATAAACCACCGCAGTCCTGAGGTTCGACACCCTCAAAATAGCCCTATCCTGCAAAGGATTCGTTCTATTGTGAGTGGTCTTTTATAATTGAAAAATAGACACATCAGGATTTGTTTGTAAGGAAGTAGTGTTAACCACATCCACGCGTACCACGGATCCAACTCCACGCTGTTTTTTATCGATTGCAGTTCTCGATCAATGGTTTTTTTCGTGTTCGCGTGGTTCTGCAACTGTCTTTTTCTTCGTCGTTCGCGATTCTAGTATGGTCTACTTTGTTGCTTTCTAGGGTTTGTGTGGTGACTGTGTGGTCGCTTTTTTATGCATCTCAGAGGAACGTAATCTCTCTAGTTGCATGGTTCTCTACATATTTTGTTGTTGTTTTGTTTCTGAGGAGTATATACCCAGAAACTGTTTAATAAAATGTCTAGCTCAGAGGTGATTTCAAAAGAAGTTAGATCGTCCTCCTAGTGTGCCTCCAATGTTGGGAGGTAGTAGTGATCACCATCCAGGCCTTTGTATTACGACTGTTAGGTTGGATGAGACGAACTATATAGAGTGGGCTAAATCTGCTCGTATACATATCACTAGTCATAGGATGATCGACCATATCAAAAGGACTGTCACTTATCCCTCCAAGAGTGATCCGAAATTCAAAGAGTGGAGTGCAAATAATGCACTAGTTATGACGTGGTTGTTGCAACCAATGCAGCCACAGATCTTTGTGAAAAAGGCTAAAGAGCTGTGGAAGGCTGTGAAAGAGAGGAATTCCTCGGTTGGCAATTTTGTAAAACTATATAAGGTCTAATAAGAAATTTCGAGATTTAAGCAGGAAGACCAAACTCTTGCTACATATTACCACACTCTCCGTGGTAAATGAGAAGAGTTAAATCACTACCAAGACTACATACCTGTCTGTGCAGCTGATGTTAAAACAATTCAGGCTATGGTAGAAAGGAATCGAATCTATGAGTTCTTGGGTGGTCTGCATCCGAAATACGAGCATGCCAGGGTATAAGTGTTAGGCAGGTATCCATCCCCTACTTCTGTTAGAGATTTGTTTTCATATATCTAAGTTGAGGAGAGTAGAATAAAGGTTATGTTTGCACCTGTATACATTAAACCTGAGCCAGAAGTACCATTGTCTGAAAGGTCTGCCCTTGCCACGTAACAATGGAACAAACCCAACCTTACAAAAGGAGGGACACAGGATGATAAGAGCAAGTTGAGATGTGATCACTGTGGGTGTACATTCCACACGAGGGAAAAATGCTAGACTCTACACGGTCACCGTACTCCAACTCTTGTTCATGCGAATGCTAAGCCAAGGTCTGGTCCATTTGGGGGGTTGTCTATGGCACATGCTGCAGCGCATGAGACTACTTCTACTGGTCATGCCTTCTCATGGCCACCGATTTCTTTGTCCGGGGTTGAAGTTAATGCTCTTCGACATCTGCTAGCTCAAAATGCCTCCACTTCCACCTCTAACTTTGCTCAGACAGGTACCTCTCATTCGGCACATCAGGTTTCCACATTTTCTGGTGGGCCACCATGGATCATTGATTCAAGAGCCATTGATTACATGACTGGTATGACATCTAATTTCTCTTCGTACAGTTTATGTTCTCGCAAGGATAAGGTTAGAGTGGTTGATATCACCTTCACTTCCATAGCGGGGAAGGGCATTGTTTCTGCCTTTCCTAATTTTACCTTATCCTCTATCGTTCATGTCCCAAAGGTTACCAATAACCTTCTTTTTGTCACATTACAAAAGGCTTGAATTGTAATGTAACCTTTTTTCCATCTCACTGTGTGTTTCAGGACTTGGACACGGGGAAGACGATTAGGAGTGGATGTAAGGACAATGGCTTGTATTTGCTGAACACAAGGCCAACTTCTTATTATGTTGTAAATCAATCTACTGTTAGGAATAGTAATGTCAATAAAGATCTGTTAACGCGATGGCATATAGACTCGGTCATTTACCAATTCCTGTTTTGAAGCATGTGCTTCCTTAGTTCGCTTCTATTGAATCCTCTAAGTTAAATTGTGGAACATTGTTCTTGCCAAACAATGTCGTGTTTCTTATCCTACTAGTATTAATGAAAGTATAGCTCATTTGCAACTTGTTCATTCTGATGTGTGGGGTCCTGAATCTACTGCTTCATTACTTGGTTTTCACTACTTTGTTGTGTTTGTTGATGACTTTAGTCATTATGCTTGGCTTTATCTTATGAAAACGAAAGATGAAGTTCATTCCATTTTTAAAACCTTTCATAAGATGATATGTACTCAATTTGGTTGTCTCCTAAAAATCCTTTGATCTAATAATGGAAGAGAGTTTATGTATGGTGGTCTTGCCTCCTTTTTTGCTGATAACGGGATTATCCATTAAATCTCCTGTGCCAATATACCAAAACAGAATAGTTTAGCTAAAAGAAAACATCGTCACATTACGGAAGTAACTTGTTCTCTTCTAATTGGGATGGGAGTGCCTAAAAATTATTGGGATGATG